TGCACGATTAAAATCGTAACGGTACTGGGTTCGGTCTTCAGGAGTTTGTGTTTCCTACAGGTCAATCCATTCATAGAAAAGGCCTTTATTGGAGAAAGCGTACCTGTCGTTAGCCATAGTAGCCTAGGTCAATACTAACCCCGGCTATATAAAATTGATTATAAAATTGAAAAACACAATATAGGCCTATCCATTGGTAAGTTACAGGTAGCTCAACTTTCCTTATAATTACTACAGCTTTCAGGCTATCTTTGAATTTTGAATTTCGTCTCCTCGATGTTATCTTGGAATTCCGTCTTTCCAAAATAACATATCTTGGAAAGACGTCTTTCCAAGATAATTTATCTTGGACGTCCGTCTTTCCAAGATACCTTATCTTGGAATTCCGTCTTTCCAAGATAAATTAAACTGGAAAGACGTCTTTCCAAGATACATTATCTTGGAATTCCGTCTTTCCAAGATAAATTATCTTGGAATTCCGTCTTTCCGAGATAAATTATCTCGGAAAGACGTCTTAATAAGTATTTATTCCATGTTTCCATGATAATTATCTTGGAAACTCGGAAACGCGGAAGGTCACTTTAAGCTTCCGTAGTTTTCAGTTATGAAAATGTCTCAATTTAATGTGTAAAAAAATAACGATTTGCCCCAGTTTTTATTTCGGAAATTTGCACTAGACCGTAACGAGCTGGTAACGACACAGATGAGAATGGTCGTCGCGAGCGGAAAATTGAAAAATTAGGACTGGCGAAAATATTCAATAATAATAATATAATAGTCGAAGGCATTTTTGAAGAATCAATCTTTCAAAAAGTTATGTTTGCTGGTTTGGATAAGGAAGTCTTTGAAGTGGTGATCTTAATAGTGGCGGTTTGTTTAATACCAACTTGTCTTACCTGTGCTGTGTAGGCATAGCCTAGCATTTAGTGCAGTACTGTATGTATGTAGAGAATACGGAATACTACTCTACTGCCTGGTGCGGCCTAGCCCCCCCCCCCTAGTTTAGGCCTAGGCATACAAACTATAATAATAATATTTCAAACATTAGAGGCAAACAAACAACACTATTTTAAATAAAGTACATTAATTTACATGTTTTATTAGATCCATAGAACAATCTAGGATCTACTACTACTACAGCATTTTACTAAAATGCCAGTTTTCGTCGTGGAATGTGCATGATACTGTACCTTGAAAACTAGGCCTAGCTCAAATTTGCGCGGAAAATAGCTTGGAAAAATGTGCAGAGATACATTGGCAATGGTTATATACAGTATCCAGATTAGTTCAAAGACTAATTATCGGCATTCTGCTCGGAAATACAAACACCTGCATTAGGCGTGGCCTTGCTGGTTCCATGCTGGATCAAAAACTAGTAGAGGGTCAAATGTCCAGCCATTTTGATGGTCAAAATACAGGGGCATTATTATTACACTACATTAGAAAAGGTTGAGAAACAAGATAGTCTATTATACATATCTTGTTATTGTCTTCATTTTTAAACTAATTTTTATTTTTATATTACAAAAAAGTATTATTTATGAAGTAATAAATTCTATTCAAAATAACTAGGTCGCGGCTATGATACACCACTTTGCAATGCATTTGAATATGGGCTTTTCACAGTGATGGTTAATTAGAATATATATATTTTCAACAAAAATTATTATTGATGATTAGTGCCAGAATGATTAATTCCTTATAAAGATATTGTAATATCAATACTAATTATTTTTTAACGGTGTAAGAATAGTCACTCTGATTTTTTTTAACTAGTCTGTTCAAACTTTTTATTGTACTTCTCTTCTTACAGGAAATGCCGACATGATGGATATCGATGGCTTTCATGTGGTAGGTGTTTAACAGGCTAAAGAAATCTGACAGAAGGGTCATCCCATCTTGCACTGTGTGGGCGATTAGGGACAAGTTCCCAGAAGCTGTGAAGACTGCCCTGGGTTTTTTGATGCTATAGAAGATGATGAAATAAACTTTGTGTTGGAAGAATTATTTATAAATTGTTATGGAAGATACCTGATAAGTCCATCCTCATTAATAACCTTCCAGACCGAGTCTGTAATTGAAATTGTTGCTATTGATGTGGATAGGCCAGCAAAGTTGATTCCAAGAACATTTTGTTGTTAAGTACAGTACAATGTTTTTTTGTATCTTCCCCACTCTCGTCTCATATTTTAAAATTTTAAGCTAATACAGTATATAAATGTAACTTGTTCTTCCCTATTCTTTACATTGGTACAGTATAAACTACAGTAACTATAAATCCATATATTTAATATTTTGATAATAAATAGAGTGTGTAAAATGCATTGATATATATTGTAATACCTAACTGCTTCAATGTTGCTTTATTCTGTGTACAGTAAAATATTAACTGTGAGAAAATACACTTGTAATAAATTATTTGCCATGTACAAGGATGATAAATTGTGTTTCAAAATATTTATTTAGTAACACCAATAGTCTTGAATTTACTGTATGTACAACAATAACTAAAGTGAAGCACCAAAAATATGGATATTGAATATCATCATGAAAGAAGAAATCTTGGCTGTGGTAAATAATACAAGACAATCAGACATGATAAATAGAGCAGTGCAATTAAAACTTTCCTAAGACGACTAATAATATACTCTTAATAATTTCTAAGTCAATCTAATTTTGCATGCCGAATCGTGTTTTCCATTAACGTAAGTGCAAGTCAAATTTTGTTAGGGTCAAACAATTTCTCAATATGACATAGGCAAGTTCAACTATATATTTTAAAATACTAAACACAAAATGGTGTACAGCAAAAAATTGAAGTTTTGTCTTAAATTCCAATACCAAATTGATCAGCATGCAGACATAGGCATAATCCAGGCATTAAAAAATAAGCAGTTTCATAGAATAACTTTACATAAGACTGTACAAAGCCATACATTAAAATAGTTGTTCCTGTATATATTGAGTCACATTTTCATACTGTACTATCAACTTCGCACATTATATATTTCAAAATCAATCCTCACAATTTGTTTTCTAAATTTCGGTTACATATTTGCTTCAAAAGGATTACTATTGAATGGGATTATAATACCATTTAATAATATTAAAGATATTTTTTGTAAGTGAAACAGGTACAGTAATTCTGGTACGGTATATATTTATTTATTATAAATTTGGCATGCAATATAAACCAGATGCTGCAATATAAACCAGATGCGCAAAAAACAAAAACTTAAGTGTGTGGCATTTCAATATATCTTCAGAAAAAAAAATCACTAGATTAATCATTTTAATTTGATTCTTTTGAAATACGGTATTTTGGCCTCAATAACTTGCTGCAGAGTTCTGAGCATCGCCACCTTCTGCTAACCATGGATTGGACATGTCCATTTCATCATGTCCACACAGATGGAACTGTTTGTATCACATCCATTGGAGCCAGTCATTTGCTCCTATTGAGAAATAAGTATACAGTAGTTACAATAATGCAAAACCAGGTTTGTTAAAAAATCAAAAATGTTATCAAACATTGGCATTTGCTGCTTTATCAATAACATATCATACTGAGATACTGTATGTACTAATCTGGAAAGACATTCATCAATTGTCAGTATTTTCAGATTTTTTAATTACTTGATTGAAGCCTTCCTGTCTGCTAGTGTGTAATGTAATATTGTTGTTTCTTAATAAAACTGACACACCATGCTGATATTTTTTTACCATTCCAATATATTTGTTCCATGTACTCTGGCTGAACAGTGATGAGATATTCACTTAATTTTCTTTTGCTCACCTTAAATTGTGTGTAGCTTTCATTACAAGTTTCAGCAAACAACCAGAGTGTTTCTTGCCAACGTCTTGCTGGGTGCTTGTATGCTTTGTACCACCTTCTTTCGTACGTAGATGCCAATGTTGGGTGGTTGTACTAATGGCAAATGTTTGTGCAGGCAATTTGCAAACTGTTCAGGGGTACTAAGGCATCATGCACATTTTAGTAGATTGCACTTTTTTTTAATACTATTTTACTATTTATTCATCTGTTAATAAATGGGTAGCTGTGTGACGGCTTATCATCTCAAAGTAGAATCATTGAGGTCAAATTAAAAATATGTGTCCAGGGGTGGGGAGGCATTTGTGACACATTTCAATTGATTTGCACTTTTTGATACTGTTTTAATATTTACTCTACAGTTAGGCCATGTAAAAAAAAACCAATTTGTTGATTGTCCTTTAAAAAAAAAATAATGTCTGTAAGCAAGAGGTTTTTTTTTCTGTAATAAAACCACCCCCTTGATGAATGCCAAGTCTTCAAATACCAATGGAGAGCAAGGCCTCATTTAACAGATTTTCCAGTGCAGTGTTTTATCCCGTCTTACGAACGCATCATAATCGTATAATAAACTGCCCTTCCCCTGACGGTTTTTACCGGGCTGACCAAGCCGTCGTACTTGGCTGGGTAATAAGAGAAAAGAAAGAGGGGAGAGGGAGGGAAAGAGAAAGAAGAGGAAAAGAAAAGGAAAGAAAAAGAGAAGAGAAAAATAAAGACAATAATAAAAAGGAAGATATCATAATAACCAGACTCACAACACCCTGCAACCCCTTCTCCACTTCAAAAACTGTCATAACTCCTTTGATCTATGCTGCCCGATGGCGTAACTACTGGGGGACAAGGGGAAAATATCTATCTTTGAAAAATCTTCGCCACCCCTTTATAAATGCCCTTTCATCCCATGAAAGTGCCTAAAAACCTCAAATTTTGCGTGCATTTCTTGTTAACATGGCTCAATTTCCTCTAAAAATTGCACATTTATGGAGTTTTGATCAATTCCAACGAAATTAGAATTAAAAACACCGGGGGACAAGGGGAAAATATCCATCTTTGGAAAATCTTTCTCCACCCCTTGACAAATGACTCCTCCCCTGTGCACTTTTACTAGGTTTAGGATATGATCACATCTAGTATACCCGTAGGCTTGACTAATTAGTTCAGTTTACTAGTATTAGATACTGGTTAATTCTCACAATTGTTTTAAAATCTATACAAACACATGCTTTTGATACAGAAAGTTGATACCGAAGTCCGGAATCAGAAGATGAAAACAGGCAATCATACAGCTTGTAATGCACGATTGTTATATTTTACAGCATCTCAGTAATCAATACGTCAGCCATACTGTGCACACACCTAAAGAGGCACTGATAAACAACCATGGAGCATCAGCCTGATGGGTGAGTATTGTACTGTACCATTGAACAATTCAGATAGAACAAAATATCTTTAAAAATGATTCTAGTTTAATGGATTGGCATGTTATTTTACGATCAATTTATCTGGATCAATATGTATATATGGATTTCTTTTTAGGATTATCCAAAAACAAAGATATTTTTGACTTGCAACATAGATAAAAAAAATAAGCATAAAGTACTGTACTTTATTATATCTATATTTTATTTTCATGTTAATGAAAACTTTTAATTAAAATATAAAAACTGTTTTTATTAAAATATTTTCATAAATTTTGTTAACAATGACGATAGTGATCGAATGTCCAGTATTGCAATTTTAAGGAAGTACAGTCTCAATTGTCTTAAGAATACAGACCTTTCCTGATTTGGGGGATGTATGAGCACCCATCACACCCCCTGGATATGGTGATGATACCTGATACCTGGTGATGATGTCAAATATTAAAATTCATCATTCACGATTGATAAAAGTAGTCTGTATTAATTATCATTTCAAAGGAAAATATACTGTAAGATTCAGTTACAAACTTTGCTTGTGTATTATTTCACAGAAATGTGTTATTTGAGGCTCTGGAGCACTGTGACTGGCAAGAAGCAAGACGTGTCTGTGAAGAACATCCCAACCTTATTAACACTTACAGCAGCTGGATTGTGGTGTGTATTCAGCTGATTATATACAATTCTGGGTGTGATTTAGTGATGAATTATCATTTTATTGGTTCTTCACTTCAGGCCTAAAGTTACTGTAGTCCCAAACATTGCCTTAAGGCCTGTCTAGACTCTGTGACATGCCCAAATATGGTGATGATGACATCACATTGTGACCATATTTGGGCACATGATGACTATATTTGGGCATACAACAGTTTTTTTGTCAAAGAACATTTGATAGTGTGGACAGAGCTTTAGTAGTAATTATTAGCTGTGTGAGGCTTGTGTAGGCCACGGCTTGTGTAATATCCTCAGCTAGGAGGATTCAGTGCTTATGATGTCCATCTGTGCAACTGTTCTTTGTACAGTGATTTCAATGTTTGCACAGGCAAATTTACATTCTTTCTCCACCCTACCTAGTTCCATTCCAATATGTTCTTTACCCTCACAACTGATTCCCAGCCAAATCAAACTTTTTTTGCTAAAATGGAAAACACAATTGCCAAAACACGCTGTAGCAAATCTTGGCTTGTCATTGCCAAGATATTGTAAGGGGTAACAACATAACCACATCAGATTTTTTTCTAACATTTCCTAATAAAAGGTTGACTTCTATGGTGGATTATGATTGACCATAAAACTCTGGCAAACATTGTGTGTGTGGGGAAGGGCATTAAAGTGTTAGTTGGTCTTGCCAGCATTTATTTTTTAAATTACTGTACTTGCATTTTCTGATCCCCTGGTGTAAGCTGATCCCCTCAACCCTAATTTACACTGAATATAGAAGGGGTGAATTAGCAACGTTTTTATGTGTGTCTTACACTATACAAATTGCTTACAATTTTGTAAAAAATGGGTCCACCTACCAACGATTTGAATGTTTGATGAAGGTATGTATGTTGTTATTTTGTACATTTGTATGTTTGTTTTTTTAGTATAAGGAAACACCATTATTACATGCTATGACACAACAACCCCCTGCACCAGAAGACTTGATGCTACTGATGGTTGAAAAAGCTACAGTAGGGAATATAGAATATGAAAACTGGGTAAATGAAATTCAAAAGCATTGTATGTTATTCAAAAAACAAAACATGTATATATATTATATACCGGTAATAAACTAATTAACTCAGTAAATTACAGTCAATTATTTCATTCTGGACTAGCGGTGAGATTTGTTATAGTTTTATTTAAAACTGAGTAGCCAGCCTATGATCATCATTTCAAAATATAATATACAAATAAAAAAAAGTTTTAATGTGAGTGATAATGATGTTTATAGATTAATTTACACTATTTACTGGCTATATTGTTGAAAAAAAATGTTATACTGTATCACAATTAGTCTTGCTTGAAAATATAAATTGAAATTGTGTCTTAGAAGAAGTGAAGCTGTCTTTTTAATTATTATATTGTATGTATGGTTTTACTTGAAAATAATCATTAAAAAACATTGAAATATGTAATATTTATGTATAAAATTATTAAATATGTGCAGCTAATGACATGACATGTTATTGTGATTAGTTATGTGTGTTGTTGGTATGTTTGTAATCCTTTGCCTTATTTTATGTTTGTCTTTTAGTTGGGTGAAACTATTATCAGTTTTTTGGCAAAGCATATGTATACATCAGCATTGAGATGTGCATTGGAAAAGTCTGCAAGCAAAATAAACACAGGAGACAATTATGTTGTAGTATTCAATGGTAAATAAAGTTAATATCAAATTCAATCACAAACCTGAGTCAGCTAAACTGGTTGTAGCTACTGGTGTGTCCACAAAGAATTTTCTGTGGCAACTCCATATCAGAATTTTTCATTTTGAACTATTCCATTTCTCAGGGTTCAATTTTGGGACCTCAGTGGTTTTCGTGAAATTTTAACCTTTCTTATCATATTTATGCTGATGATAAACAGGTCTATATTTCTTTTAAACTTGCTGAAGAATTTGATATGAAGATTGAATCTCTCAGAAATTGAAAACTTGGATGTCCGAAAACTTCTAAAAGTAAATGAGCACAAGACAGAATTCATCGTCTTGTTCCCCTCAACAAAGGAAAAAATGCCAAGACCTCCACATCAACATTGGGGAATGTCAGATCGATCAAGTACCTCATGTATAGAATTTGGGTATTACGCTTGATTCTTCAATGACTTTGAGTTAGCACATTCCCAAAATCACCAGCTCCTCAACATATCACTTGTGCAA